CCCGAATTACACATGCCACTGATGATAACTATTATAACGTCAGTACTTTTAATAACATATCTCTTACCTTTCAAACTGAAAGGTAGAAATCTAGATGATATAAAAATGAATGCGCAAAAGACTAACTTAGTAGAGGATTCAAGTCTCCGGAATCCTCGTTGTATAGAACGACCCGTTAGTCATTTGGCGTGAAGATAGACTCTGCACAGTTTCCCTATGGTAACGCACGAGTTTATTTTATTAAAAGTAACACGTAAATGAAAATGAATCATTCAGAATGGACCAGGAAAAGTTCGCATCAGGGATGCCAAAAGTACCAGAACTCTAGTACATGTACCAGATTTATGGTTTTCGGTAGTAAGAGGACATCATCATCTACCTAATATTATGTATTGCTTTTTTTCTATGAATTTAAATGGACGATGCACCCGTATGTTCCAACGATTTTTTTATAGATGATAATGGAATGGTGCACCCGTCTGCGCTAACGTTTTACTCGGGCGGGAGACTTGTGAAGGATGATAAGATGAGCTCAGGTGAGTTTGCCTACCGTGACAAATTTACTAAAATTTATCACGATAGTTTCCAGGGGGAACCGCTCGGAGGTCAACCTAACATGACATTGCTAGCAATAAGGACATTAGTCCACATTATTCCCCTTCCCCCCTACGCTAACGGTATGACCATTGGCAAGATTATAGGATGATCAGGAAAGTCATTTAGTAATTAACCACGATGATTTCTATGTCAGACCACATGGAGGGCGAATATCATATTACTAGTAATGGAGCTACTAATTCCCTCTAGTAACCTTGTCCGCCTTCTTGTACAATGTATGCAAGTAGTTTTGAGACCAATAAGACCTGCCCACTGCCTAGTTGGTCAAAATATCAGGATACATGAGTGAGGAGAGTCGAATTAACACAATATATATGTTTTTTTCATTATACGAGGTTGTACGAGGTTAAAATGTTGTAAGGTTGGCAACCCTGGTCCGTACCGCACGTCCTTCGCGTTCTGCTACCGATACTGTTTGTTTACACAAACCTAAATTTTGTTTACATTCCCCTGCAATGATATACAACGCACTTTAAATAGGAACAAGCGCATTGCCAAGAGTCGTTTTCTGTACGTTTCACGGATACCATTTCTCCAGCTCTGCTATCGATTTTGTATTCAGTATACAAATTAGGTAGATATATATTGGGTAGATATATAGGATTCAATTGGGTAGATGCAATTAAGTAAAAGTCGGTATTACCAAGATTATTAAGACGTGTGATTATCACAAGTGGCTAAAAAAGAGGACATTGAAATGTAATTTACCTATTGTATTAAGAGGATTTCATGGTGTCCATAGACCATATAAGCTACAAAAAAAACTAATCCCTATAAATAACTAAATATATATTCCAGGTTACTTTGTGGCGAGACAAGGCATATCAGTTGAAAATAAATAGATTGAAGATTCTCTAATAACTAAGTAACTTATAATTTAAACATAATATAAATTACCTAATACAACTATGCTTCTATTTACAGCAACGTGCGCCGACTACACTGAGGAAGAATATTTGAAGAATAAAAAATAAATATCAACAAACGAAAACACCAGGAGAAGACCAATACAAAAGAGAAGAAAGAAGCGAAAGTTCTTCATAAAATTGTCTTTTTCCGCTTTGCTGCTGATAAATTAATAAACCGTCAACAGCAAAGTGAAAAGGTCTCCTTTATGGGAACTTGCTACGAAATGTCTGCACCTGTACTGGTTGACACAACGAAACTGTTCTTCAAGCCAATTGGAATTGCATATCGAGAGTTTGAGAGAATTGCATAACATGACGGTGCTGTTAAGATTATAGGAAAAGCTGCAATAGTTACTATTTGCCACATGTCAGCTAGTCATAAAGATCTTGTAGTTAAAGATTTTTTTTTAAATCTCGGACTGTTATCTCTAAAGCTATATTAGCAACAATATTTTATTTCTCTTACACTGTAGTAACTGCTATTTGCAATTATTTTACTTGTTTGTATTGCAAAATCATAATATAAATGTTTAGACTTGTAGGTACGCTGAACTGACTCCAAATTTTGCTTGTTGTACTAAATTGTTGGTAATATTTATTATATATTGCCAAAAGACGTAACTGCCCTAAATTCTATTTGAAATTTCATGTGTATTATTTATATAAACTAATATTGTATACATTTGCGTTAGTAAGTTCATAATTATGTTAGAATGTGAGTAGTGTAGCGTAAAACGGTGGTTCGCCCTAGGAAATACGAATGTATGTATGTATGTGCGAATAATTCTAGATCCGAGACGGCCAGCGCGGGCGTCTTTGTCGCTATGTGTAGTGACACCGAAGGGTTTTAGTGAGTAAAAGTCCCACAGTATATGTATGCACTCTCTCATACGGGTGGGTGGTTTTGTTTTGAACATTTACTCTAATAAACACATTGGTGGCGACTGGCGACAAAATTAGTCTTTTTATATTTTGTTATACTTTGGAGCCTTTTAGAATGAAATACTTTCATTAAGGTCTTTCTTCTTATTAATGAAGTTGATTCTATTTTTACAAAACTAGCCTTTGTACAAATTTCTCTTCGTGGACTCCTCTAATCATCTTTTTTAGCCGCCAAGCAGCTTGCTTTTAAGATATGTTAGAGTTAGAGGAGATATAGCAGTGAAATAACAAGGTGTAGAGGCATGACATCTTAGTCCACCGGAATGGCAACGTAAGAGAATGACGCATTGTCCATCATGCCGTTCATGTACATAGACGCCACTACCACTTACTATACAATAAGGCCGTCAGTTAATTTGCCATTCTAATAATATAAAAAAAACACACGGGGAATGTTGCCTACGCCCATGAGCTGTGAAACCTACGCTACTGCACATTGAACATACTATAAAAACGTAACAGTAAATTATTGTAGCGACTTTTATATGATAATATACCAATATTTGTAAGTGGTAATAAATAATATTTAAGTAGACTTAGTCATTTTGAACTGTAACTCGACAACTTATTCAACGAGTAATTTATAATAGACTTATATTTCTGAACGTAGTGTACGTTATCTTATAACTTTAAAAAATATTCACACTGCTGATATGACCTCTCATGATCTGCCACATTATCTATGGTTCTATACCCAAATTTACATGCCTTCTACAGGCAGTAGAGCACAAAGGTCTTCTTTCATGTAATTGAAAAAGCAAACAACTGACAACTAAACAAAGCAACAGTCGTAAGGACTTCACAAAATGATCTTGTTGCATCTTTATCTATATATTTTCAAAGAAAGCTAAGACAGAGTTACCCTTCCAGGCGACACGTCATTTTTTTTATAACCTTAAAATAAATCTCTGTGATGTTCTTTAATGTACTACTAACCTTTTTTAACGCGATAATGTTTTTACCCAATCAAAACCACACGGTGTATATCCGAGCCGCCATTGCTAGACGAGTTGAACATACAGTACTATAATAATAATAACTCTTTATTGCGCACAGATAAACAAAACAACAATAGAACTCATTAATGTTTTACAAAAAGCGCTCTTATCGCTCTTATCTTACAGACTACCTGGTATTAATACAGAGTATTTACATAGAGAAACAAGGTAATGTGCTATTTACTTCAGTGTAAACCTACCTTTAGACACGCATTTAACATAGACGATAAATTCTGTCCCGAGTCTGAACATCGACGTTAACGCTACCGATTTATACCAGTTCTGAACATAAAATCATCCACTTATCCTAAATTAGCAACTGAGCTGTAAATCAAGGGATTTGGGCCAACTTTATGCTATAAGAATTCCCGGCATATTTCTTCACATGTGTTTAGATTTATGCATAAATTATATTCAGGATATTGAGAAAAAAAATATTTACTCATTTTAATAGGAAAGTAGTCGTCATCACGAACTGTGTGTATATTTAGTAAACGTTCGCCGATATAAAGATATTTACTTATGAAATGAATGCAGTATTATATTAACTAAAGCCCGCGATTACGTTTGCTTAACTCGACTGAACAAGCATTAAATAGTGGATATATTAGTTATTTATTATCAAAAGTAGGTTTAATTATGATAAATTTTACCCTTACTAGAGAAATCATTGATTCTCCATAAAAACATTCATCGCGTAATTCACTGATTTAGTTTTCATTTTCGCAACGAAAAGTAATCTATACTTTAATTTACCAAAATTCATTTAGTAGTTTGAGCGTGAAAAACGTACATTTCATGTTTATTAGTATAGAAAGAGAGAGAGAAAAACATTTACGAAACGGTCTAGTCATTTAAACATCATCACGAACTGTGATATTTAGTAAACTGCCGCTGTTCGCCGTTATTAAGACTTATGAAATGAATACAGATTTATACAAAACATATTAATATTTTAGTCCGTTGACTCAGGTTACGCAGTGGAACTCGTCTGTGGCGTAACAATAACATCGCAGAGTGGCAAAAATACTACGGGCCCCCGACTGTAGGGCCTTGGTTCGAGAGGCCGTGAGCTCAGAAATAATCTTTCATTACATAATTTACTAAAAAAATGTATTTGTTGTAATTCTCAGATATGATAGTTACTCTAACATAATTTATTCATAATTTAAGAGCCACGCTCTGGATCGTGGAGCACTTACCACTTTCCACTATCTTCCGTCATGCTTCCGTCATGCATGCATGTTAAGTGTTTATACGACGCGACTACAATTTTGTTTTCAATTTGCTTGATGTAGCTCTGGCTTGATCTTCCCGTCCTCCTCCTTCCTTTTACGTTTCCCTCAATAATAAGTTTCATAAATTCGTCGTGCCATATTAAGTGTCCTAACAATGTACATTTAATGTAAAATTAATAACTGTACAGAAACATATCTTTGATACTTACTAACTTTTCGGACAGTTTGTGAACCAAACTACTTAACTATGACCAAGCTCTGGCCCAAATTTCTTAGTTAATGCTTTTTATAAATAAAACAAAACTTAAAATTATACTTCTTTGCATTTTAATATTTATAATTACAAAAAATCAACTACTTTCTGCAAACTGTTCAACAATAAATGCATTAAAAACATATTCTCCGTCTTTCTCCCACTAACTAATATACTAAATGTTTATTGCTTACATCAGTGTTCATCCAAATGCGCATAAACCCTTCTTAATTTTTCTCGTTTGTTTTTATTTGCGTGTTTCTTTTCTGCTTTCCAGGGTTTTCCAGTCTGACTGGCCGGCTGTGCTCCTACAGTACTGAAAGAAATCATAAACTTTAAGATTATTCATCATTATAATATGTATTTTCCTCATACCATAAAAAAAGCATTACATTACTTCTACCATTAATTTTATATAAACTTATAGAAAATTTAATATCAATTTTATACAAACTATTATTAAAAATAAACACAGAAATTATTGTCTTATTTACAATGACATTATTGAGACCTATTATTATTGTAATCAATCCCTATAATTTAACTAAACGCATATAATTGAATGGTATCCTAAAACGCGCTATTAAAGATTTGTAATTCGCCAATAAAACGTGACTTCCAGCCAGGACAAAAAATAATAATTTTAAAGCATCTGTAAGGAAGAATTTCATAACCATCACTCCGGCTTCAAGACTCCACGGCTGGTGGCACATCCAACCGGTCATATCACGCAGTTTCAGACCAATTTTCACGATCGTTAACCCCCGGTCGGCTCGTAAAGAAACTTTATGAATTAACAGTTGGCGCGGCTCCAGGCTACCCATTTCGTCTTCGGAGAGTTTATTTAGGTTTCCCTTAACTCTAATTGATAATATACGGTGATATGTCTTTCATCTTCGCTCGTTATAAGTTCCATATTTTTGTTTGCGTTTGTTCAATCTCGCAACTAGATAGGTTAAGTAAATTCCATCGTCTAAAGTCTAAAGAGCGGCCGTCATTGTAATGAATCCAATAAATTCTTTAGGTTTCGTTACAGATAGAAAAGTGACGTTAGAATTATAAATATATGGTTTCCAGGGAACATCTTTCTTGATAATATAAAAATAATGTTCATAAGTATTATTTTAATAGTAAAATATGTAATTGTATCTAAATATATGATATTGTTTAACGAAACCAATCAAGTCTATCCTCTAACAAGAAAATTAAGTGAGGTTGAATTTATATATTTAAAAGAAAAAATATAGAAATGAATTTTTTTTAAAGACTGTCAGACTTTTATTTTTATTATTGTCTTAATTTAAAAATATTATTATTAAAATTGATTCTAATTACTAAATATATGCTTGACAAACACATTGAACAAATCACAGCTACTCTTTTTTATAGCAATATGCTATAAAAAAGAGTAGAAAAGAAAACTTGTCTCTGATAATCTGTCTATGTACTTTTTTCTTTTCTGTAATACATTATATTAACACTTACCCTAATATAGGTTTTCCTTTAACATGCGCAGAACTTTTCTTCATAGCAAAAAAAGCATTGTCTATTTCCGCTGATTTATTCACCCAACCCTAAAATATAACAATAACAAAACCTGAAGTTGAAGAAACAGAAACAGATAACCCGCAAAGTAACACGCAAAAGCCTATATACCTCATCTAATGGATCATTTTGTAATGTCTGTATATGAAATGGCTATACTACCACCTGTGAGAAGTCAGTATCTACGCCTCACAGGTGGTTTATCACCGGATCACATCGGATTATAGGTGGAGGTAAATACATGTACTAGAAGATAGTCATTAAAAATACTTTGTATTGAGTGTTCGGTAACATAGAGCAAGATCCTAGGGTCGCCATTATGGTCTACACAAGATGGCCGCCCTTGAATCTAACCAAGATGGCGGCTCTAGGATCTTGTTCTATTAGATTTGTTTCTATTTCCAATTTACGTACATCATAGTTTGCAGCAGCAGTTCCAAACAAGAAACCAACTCAAGGCGTAGAAGGTAATTATTTCAAAACAAAATCTCACTGTACATTCATTTATAAAATTTTAATTCATTAGCAAATAGTACTCACCTCGACCATCCGTGTCTCCCGCGGCGTGGGTTTCCTCTTCTCCGATTTCTTCTGTTCTATCAGGTCCTCTAGCTGAGGTTCACAGCCGGGCGGTAGCTGTTCCCATCGCAGACGCCCGCTAGCTGCATCCTTGAGCAGCAGACGGGCTGAACGAGACTGATCCGGCTGTCCAGCCGCAGTCATGAACCCTCGGTTGACTGTAAAATATTACTTTAGGTCCCTTGAATAGCAAACAAGCTAACAGCTCGTGGTAACAGGTAACAATCTCTAATTTCACTGTCATACATCTTATAAACGTCAAATCATATTTACTGAACAAAGGCTATTACTTGAATGACGTGCATGGCAATAGCTGATCATGCACTGGATTTTCATTTAATGTTAGATATAGACACCTACATAAGCATACTATGTAAAATATCATTTAAAAAAAAAGAGAATTCAGTTGTGTTACTTGCTAGTTCTTCTCAATTGAATCTCTATACTGAACTGGATGGTAGGGAAAAATATTATAATATAAAAAAAAATACTTTCATAAGATGCTAAAATATTCTACATGAATAATAGATTTTTGTTTTGATTTGATTTGAAACTGAAAAATAGCTTGCATGAGCTAAGTTGTAGGTATACATAATATACTCCTCCTGTTACACTACCTGGGAAGTTATCAACATTTTTTCGGTAAAAGTAACAATAATGTGATGATGACTAAATTAAAATTGCCTATTTTAATTTCGTCAACATTACATTGGGAGGAAAACCGTTACGATTAATAATCACGAAAATATCGAATTAATTAATATTTTCGTGATTCCACGAATACAGGTACGGATTAAGATCGTCCATCATATTATAATCGGTTATAACACTTGAACATATTTTTTAAACACATACATGCATGGGCAGTAAGAATTTGCTTGTAGTTCAGTTTGCTGTCGTCACTTTCAGGTAACAGTAAACCATACTTTTCCTCGAAAGTATGTTTACTGACGAGTTGACAAAGACGCGCCATTGCAGCATCGTGAGAACGCATCTGCAAACAAAATTTAGTTTTTATTCCCTTATAATAAGTAAATATATAATAAAAAAATGTGTATGTGTTGGTTTCGGTTTCTTTTCAGTTGACGGAATACCCGATGGTAAGCGATAACTGTCGCCTATATCATGAACAGTACAGTAGTTTCTTCTCAACCGATACTTCAATAATGTTGTGGCATAATTGCAATTATTTCACATACTATACATAAATCTTTATGTTAACTAATGTCACCAAGTCACATTTTACATTTAATAAAAAAAGAATCGAAAGTATGTTTTAATAAAATTATCAAGCCATCTCTTGATAATTTTATAAAACATACTTTCGATTCTTTTTTTACTAAATGTAAAATGTACATGTGTTAACAAAGAAATACTATCAGTATAGACAATTATTACATACTGAACAGCTTTGAGTACCTACATTGACTTATTCAGCGTTAAAAAACTTACTTGATCAATAGACAAAACAGCAGTCAGCATTAGATCGGGGGCCACGGCATAAGCTGGCAACACTAGTCCAGGACAATCAAGAACTTCTAACTGCTCATCCAGAATTAATGATTGCACGTGCCGCGTGTGACCTGGCATTGCACTCACACTCACCTGGAAATAAAATAAAATAGTGTTAGTAGTAAGAAAATAAAAAAAATATACGTATTAAAGAGTTCTATAAAAAAACATTCTACATATACGTGACCAATTTCAAAATGCTTTTTATTGAAAGAATTTTGATATTACCAATTATTTAATATAAAATGGTTTCAGTGTTTTAGTTTATTTTAGAATGGCTAATTTAAAAATATAAAGCATTAAAAAACTTATATTATGTGTTTTATAGCACCCCAAATAGATTTAGAATTTAATAAATAATTAAAACTTACCTTCTTGGTTTGCATAAGAACATTGACAGTACTTGATTTCCCTACATTCGGATAACCAATCATTCCTACTGTTAACCTCGGTGGATTCTTCAGGTTCTCTATCTTCTGTTCTTTTAATACATAAAGCAATTTATCTCGATCATAAATTTCAAAAGAATTTTGTACTTTTTTAGTGTCTTCTTTCTCTGAATTATTTTCTCTCAAGCCTTCAGAAACATTGATAATTTCATTATCATATGAAGTTTCTAGTGGCCTTCCTAATCTTAGATTCTCTACAACTTTATCTAATGCAATTTGAATCCTATCTATTTTGTCAGCTGTATTGGAAACAGCCACATCCAAGTCACTCAATTGTTTTTTAAATAATACAATATCTTCTTCTGCAGATTTTAAGGCTTCTTTTTCTAAATCAACATCTGAATCTTCATCAATTTCTGAGTCAGCAGATTCTGTATCAGAATTATTAACTGAATCTTTTGGATCAGGTTCATCATTCTCAGAGAGTTTTCTATCTTTAGTGGATTTAGCAGCAGAAAAGAAAATTATATGTATGTTCTGAAATTGACAATAAATTGATACATAACATATTACTATATAACTAGAAACAAACATGCAGAAGACCTACCTAATAGAAAGTTACAACCTTCATTATTTGTATTCCGGAATCAGTGGTATGCCATTATAATTGAATTAATGTAATTATAATTTCTCTGATATACATACTTGTTTGTATAGTTTAAGATAGTACAATTATGTTAGTAACAACATATGTGTTTATATTATATGTTAAATAAAGAATATTCATATTAAATATTTTATTGCTAAATTGTCTTACACATATAACTAGAAAATCTCAATAAAATAAAACATGGTAAGATCCCTTAATTTTTACTAAGTATATGTATAAATAATGACATAGTCAAATTTAAAACAGCATATACATACCTCTTTATTAAAATAGTCCACCCAGGTCTTTCGCACATATTCACTTGTCAAGTCTGCTTTATTCAAGAGCAGTATGCATTTGCATTTTTGTTCAGCTGCATACTTTTCTAAATCTGCACACCTACAAAAGTATTTCAATTATATTGATATGCTTAAATGACTACACAATGGTATAACCATAGTATGTCACAATGCCATCTATTTAAAAAAATTGAACTTATACTATAGGCACAACAGATTACAGTACTTTATAAATTGCAATGTAATGTGATAAACTGTTACATCAAGATTAAATGAGATTTTTGTACCTATTATTATAATATGTGATGTATTTACAGTATTGAAATGATTATGAATAAATTATTTATTTATTTATAGCCTGTTCAGTTCATCAGCTTGCCCTGAGATATAGTCCTCAAATAAATTATAGTACAGTTTAAATACTAAGAGCATCTTAATTTGATAGGAAAATATTAGTGATTTAAATAATAAGCAGATACCTAAATAAGAGAGGATTTCTAGCATCCAAAAGAATTAATACAATGTCTGCCTTCTCTAAAGTTCTCCAAAGCTGCTTCCAAAATTCAATATTTCTCTCATATGGTGTAAGAGCTGCACCAAGTTTAGCTTGCAATTCATTGAGATGTCTGCGCCAATCGAGAAATGAATCTCTCTCTCTACTTAATTGTTCTTCAGGTGTTATCCCTAATGTCCATTGTGGTCTGTAAAATTGTAATAACAAATAATTAAAACTAAACTAAACTAACTAAAACTGAACCTATATAACAGTCTACTAACAAAACATTTATATATGTACTCTACTAATTACTAACAAAATAAGTGTTACATTTTCTACACCAAAAAGACTAAAATTACTTCCTGTTTAGGATATACTTAAAAAGTGTTTAGTCTGATACATAATGTTAACATTAATGGTAGTAAAAATAATGACTAATTACCACAGACGAAAGGAAAAGCATTAATCAAACAATAATTATTGGGAAAGGAGATTATTAGTAATGTGGGCTGTTGACCCCATTGCTAGCAATGTGCCATGTCAGGTTGGCCTCCATGGCAGGTAGACCCAAGGCCCAACATATAAATAAATTGTCTACAATAAAAATAAAACTAAATTAAAGAAAATGAAACACAATACCTTCTTGGTACAGTTAATGGCTCATCAAAATTTGGCTGTGATGTCATAACTTCCACTTCACTAGGCACCGACTTCACATACTTTAAATTCATTTTCTCAGCAGTGAATTCTCGCTGTGCAAGTTCTGCTGTTGATAAGAATTCTTGCAAAGAAGATTCGGCTGTTACTGACTGGAGATTTAGCCTACCCCAGTCGAAACCATCATTGATCTCTGTAGTATGTAACTGTACAGAAAATTAATTAGATAATTATATAGGTTAATAAAAATGTTGAAGTATACTGATATGTAAAGCGTCAATAAACAATTATTTATACAAATGTCAGTGAGGTTAGTGTGTAGCTGGTTTAAACAAAGCTACATACTGAACAGAACTGCTTAATCCTATATTTTCAAAATAGTCATATAAATAAAGAGGGTTGTTTACCATTGTGTTGTCCTCGACATGCCTTCGGTGTCGGTTTTTGGAAAATCTGTCCTTAATGAGGGACCGCCCAAGGGACTCCTTATTTTTCTTCCCCATTATGAATTAAAAATAATGTAACTGGACAACATTAACGGTAGTACACTAATTACTTTATGCAGAAACTATTAATTTACTAAATAAAATTCAAGAAACATAGGAAACAAGGTAAGTACTAAAACACATGTTTAGCTGAAATGTCATTATCAATGTCAATTTAGGAATACGGTAATGATTAGCACAGATCATAGAGCCTATAATCATTTAATAATTGTAAAAGTTTACCAGAGAGAACATAAAAATTATTTTGCGTGGGTACCTCAGTCTCATCTATTTCAGCAACCAAGAATTTTACTTTGTAAGCTGTGTTTCTGTTTCAGAATACGATAAGATAAGGTAACGGGCGTAGGTTAGGTAGGTAGGCATAGCTTTTTAGAATAGAATACAATTCAGTTGTTACTGTCGTATCACATATTCATTCATTCATTAACTTCACGGATGTGATATGATTTTTGTCGACTATTCTAAGTTTTTTGGCTGTAATGGGCCTTTACAGCTTCACAGAACAATAGGAGAGACGAGTGCAGATGACACTTCTAACTGCGGAATACCTTCCTGACGGATGACATTAATTTAAAGATCCGTTAGGGGTTCTAACCTCGGCAACGATATATTATGATATCGAGATGTTTCTAAAAATAAATCCAATAATTATAATAGGTATATTGAATTATTATAGAACTTTAACGGAAGTATTTTCGTCTTGTTATTATTAATTATTGTGACTTCCACTATGTTAGAATTTCAAAACCTTGTTCTCATATATTTATTTTTTGGTTCTTAATCCTTTAGGAAAAGACTGCCCATCATATCTTTTTATTATTTTATTTTGCTAGTCAAACGCTAAACTATTGTTTCATTGACTGTCAGTATTGCTGTCACTGACTGTCAGTGTCGGATAGTGTCGGCTATTTCGGTGCTTTGCGTGCCTAGTTTGCGTGCATTCATTTAGTTTTCGATTAATTCTTTTCAACAATATTTTCGATTTTTGAGAAATACTTGTAATAATTTGTAATTTAACTATCTCAATTGACATACACTATTTGTTTATTTTAATTTTAGTAATAAAAACGAAAAGGGTCGTGTCTCTCAGTTATGATGTCTGAATATTATGATCATTATCATCGGTGGGAGCCACTTGCTGAGTTCCAATTTGCAATACATGATGATCCTGAAGAATTGGAAAACAATTATCTGTACTGCCTCTGCAGTAGAGTATTTCTAAAGTAAGTGATGCCTCATTTCATTCTCATTTCGAAAGCAATGATAAATTAGAGTTCGAAGAAAATGTCGTAATTTTGTTCTATTGTGATACTACGCCAAAAACTAAATTATTAGCAGAATAATAAATATACCTTTGCCCTTCACCTCTAGCATAACAGGCGATTACGGCATAGTTAACGCCCTTGACTCAATCATATAGACAACCTTGATTCAATTGGCCTTCTAACAAAACAATAAAAAATTATACAGGTTTGAAAAAATAAATAACTATTTATTATTATAGCAGCAACAAAATAATTAACGTTTAACATAAAATATACAATGGTTTCATTCAACTTTATGGCATATATGAAAACCACTAAGTGATGCCAAAAATATGATTTCTTTGTATGTATGTTATGTTTTGTGACACTAAAATTGTATCAAAAAGAAAACACATACCACACCCTTTAATAAAATTTAATTTACATGTTATGAATTCCTTAAAAATTGTTCAAATATTCAATCTAATATTTGGAACAATGAAAGATTGGTGCTTTTTAAATATTGTCAGACTGATATTTCTTCATATGATGTTTAGAAATCAAAGAACAAAGAAAGACCTCTTGTCTTTGATAATCAAATTAACTAAAATCTTTACAGTGCAGTGAATTCGCAACCTTAATACAATAAGTAATTTAATAATAATATGTATATTATTTCTCATTTAATCAAAGACATAGCATCAATAAGCCACAGTTATCATTATTTAAGGTGTTATAATTAATGTTTCAAATTTACAGCAAACTGATAGAGAGGGACTATTTTTTTATTCACCAAAAAGTCTTCTACATGCAATATATGAACTAATTATTTATTTATTTAGGGACCAATAGCATTGTGACATTCATAAAATAATTAAATTATAATATTAAAGCTATTTACAGCATTTTATTGTAATACAGTTTCATTTAATCATTGTCATATCATTATAGTGTTATTTGTTTGTATATAACACTTTTTATTTACACAATTAGAGTCTAGTTATTAAACAAAAATTCAATGATTATTGAAATAAAAAATATTTTGATCATTTTTATTGAATGTTTTTCATATTTTAAAATATATTAGATTTGTGTTTGAATCTTCGCATATATTTTTAAGATTAATTTTTATTCAATAGAGATGGCATAAAAACTTATTATGCTGAGAAAGAAGATGCAAGTGAAAGTGATGTTGAAGTGCTGCGAGACTCTCAATCTCAGGAGTGGGATGAACACTCACATGTACATTTCTCATTGGATACTTCATATAAGGTGAAGTGTGAGGTAACAACTACAATCTAATAATTTTTCTAAATATATTTAAGTACTTTGTGCACATAATTACAGTATAGGATCTATTTTTTCTCAAGGCAAATCCATTATAATAATAACCCCAGGACAATTCACATAGTGCCATCTAGTCCCACTCTAAGCGGAGCTTGTGTTATGTGTACTAAAAAACTGATATAAATACTTAAATATTTTATTTGTAAATACATAATATACATACACAGACCTTGTTTGTATAGAATCATGAATAATTGTTTGTACTATATTAAGATTTGAACCTGCAACCATCGGAAGTAAGTCGGTGAAAAGCGCCTGACTAGAGACTGTCAATTATAGAGATCACAGGAAGAACTATCTAGAGTCAAAAACAACAAAAAAAATGTAATGCCCAGATTTAATATAAGTAATAATGTATAATTCTATTATTGTTAAGATTAACATCACACAATCTAATTATTCATTTTAGATTTTGCAATGGTTTCTATTGGAAAAGTAAAATATATAATTATTATAAGACACAATTAAATTTAAACCAATTTCTACCAATTTCACAGAAAGATGAAGGAGCAAGTTGCTACTGTAGTGCATCACATACTGATAATTATTGCTCCACCGATGAACATGATCCAGCGCAAATCCATGGTGCCATGTCCCATGCTCTTCAACCCAGTGACAGTGGGGCAGACCTCACATACCAAGATTGTCACTCTGACTACACACATGATCAATTGGAAAAAATGGACCAAGATTTCCAAACGCAAAGTATATCAGAAATAATAGAAAACTACTTATCTGAAGACACATGGGAGAAGTTTTGGGCTGTAAATGGAGAAAGGATTATTTGGGCTTCATGGATTAAAAAGTACAGTGACTACATCAATCCTGCTTATTTAGATGATAATAATGAACTGGTAATGGATGATAATAATATCCCAAAGGAACATTCAGCAGACCAGATATTTTTTAATAAAGACACACCTGTTTTAAATACAAACGAGGATGGTATCAGAGAGAGAAAATTCTCATATGATTCTAAAGTTAACCCATACAAGAAAAGTCGCCCAACTGCTGATAAAGGTGTTAAAAATTTTGATTCAGAAAATAAAGAAGATACATGGTTTCCATTAGCCAGAAAAAGGTCTTGTTCTGAACATGACAGAATTTTAAGTCCCAGAACTATAGGAGGCACAGATTCAATGACTAATATAACAAAAATTACCATTTCAAGTTATGATATAACTTCAAGTCATGTCACATCTGAGTCAACACCAACTGATGATTATAGTGTGTCATCATCTACCTCAGATGACCAGTCAAATGACCAAACTAGAATTATCAATATAAATGAAAGCACAGATTTAGTTCCATCAGAGGAATTAGATACAGAGCAGTATTGGCAGTTTTTATGGAAAAAGCATTTTGGTGAACAATATGCATTGCATTATGCAAATTATATTGAATACCATGATGCAAAAGATAAAGATTTACCTGAAATAAATGTTGAAATGAGTCCAGAATTAGTTGATAATATTGATGAAAAACCAGTTGATATAGAGTGTGAGAATAGTGAAGGGAACTCACAAGAGATGCCCTCTGTAATAGAAGTATCAGAAGTATTGACGCAAATAGATGAGATAAAGTTGGATGATAAAGTTAATAAACCAAAGAAAAGGAATAAAAAAACAAGCAATAGGTATCTTGGATCTGTTGGTGTTTTATTGCAGAATTTACTTAAAGAAGAACAAAAGAACAATGAAGAGAATGAAGTATTTGAAGGTGCAGAAAAAGATGGTGATAAAGTGGAGACAGTAACAGTCGATGTTGTAGATGGGACTGTAATTTCAAGAACATCAGTGCAGCAGCCTGACAATGTTACAAACTATACATTATATAATTATGATGATGGTGATGACGACCCACCTGAAGAAAAGCCGGTCTCATTAAAAAGAAGGTAATTTTTATACATATTCATAGGTTTCATAGAATAATAAGTTTAATATTTTTTTGCAAACATATTAGTAATTTATAATATTTTGTATTCAATGTGGAGTGTTTTAGTATGAACTAAAAGTATAAGATATAAGATAAATTAAATAATTTGTTATATTTTCAGCCATGAAATGGATGAAGAAGAGATCGCATCAGAGAAGGTCAAGTCTACATTCGAAATAATGGGGTTCTCTACAAATCATGATAATGTACCTAAGGGTCAACTTGTGTATAGGAAAAGGCTGGCGAGACTCCGTCCACCAAGACACAAAAGATTCGGAGTGGGTAGAAAGACGTATTACGACGACGATGGTAATGCATACCAGGTAATTAAGACATTATTGTATATCGCTTTTAATTCATTCTACTGTAGATATAGCTCTTAACATCATCCTGAATGTTCTGATAACAATAAGAATTAACAAGTACCAAGTTTATTATTCCATAATCCAGAATATTTAGAAAAAAAACCAATTTGTACAAATGTCCCTTATTATCTTAACTACAGCCTACATTTAAAGTATTAGGTGCTAACTGCCACACTCAGAGTCACCCAATGATTACTTACGGAAGCTTAGTGTAGATTAGGTAAATAATAAATATGTATATCATTTACCAGCCACGAGACTCTTATGAAGAACGTGAAATCCAAACAGATGAAGACATGGATAAATCAGATAGTGATAAAAGGACTCAGATGACAAATGTAGAGTTAGAACAGGACACAGATGTTGTGGAGAACATTAATATAGACAATGATGATAGAAAGGATGTTGTTATTGAGGCAGCAGATGTAGAGCTACCACCAGATTTGGAAACTTCATTCAGTGATGCACAAGATAATGAGGAACAAAATAGTGAGAATGCAATGATAGAAAATACAGGTATCAATTTACATATATTTGCATTAGATATCTCATTTTCATTCACTATCATACAGACAGAGATATATTGCAAATCTCAATTAGTTTGAAAACTGAACTATTGGCAATGATATTAGAAATGCTAGTTAATCTTAGCACAGTCCTTCAATACTAAAACATTTTTTTATTCTGCTCTATGTTAATAAAGAACTAATTAGTGGTCTAGCGGTTTAGCTCACCACCTTACTTCCAATGTTCGCGGGTTCCATTCCCACAGTACAAACATTTGTATTCATAAGTATAATTATTTGTATCTGAGTTTTCCCTTTGTATATTATGTATGTATTTACAAAAAAACGTATCTGTGTATTTATATCAGTTGTCTAGTACCTATAATATAGTAGGTCCGTTTATATTGGGACTAGATGGTGCTGTGCAAATTGACCTAGAGATATTATTATCTAAAAAGAGTTAGCCTTCTATTTAACTATGGCTATCTCTAAAGTGGATTCTATTTGACCGAAAGCTGCAATTAATCACAATCGCTGTTTGGTTTCAAACCACTGAGTCCCGAACTACTTAAACGCAAACACTACACTAATATATGTATACAAATATCATAACCCTATTATGAAATAACTAACGGACCCGGCAGACTTCCTGTACGGAAAGCGATCAGCAGCGCCGTATATGGATCTAATTATTCATTCAAACTATTTAGCACTCATTGAAGTTTAGGAGGAGTTAGTTTATACTTAACTTCAGAAGAATTATGTGTATTAAGATTAATGTGATATATGTATATTAACTTCTTTTCAATACAGTACCAAACACATCTGATACAACGAAACGTAGGAGACGAAATAAACGTCATTCCCGACTGGATGTCGCAGGTGTTGATGTATCAGATATGCCTGCTGAGCTGAAAGATGATCCGAAGATGTTCAAGTACTGGAAGAAAAGGCATTCATTATTTCACAGGTAAACTTACACTTTTAAGTGACAGGTTCAGGTTTATTTACTATGCAAGTCGGAATTTTTTGGCTTAGAACAAATAATACACTAATTTTTACTTTATAGCTCGCCGCGATCTGCGACATATGTTTTTTTTTGTGAATAGATAGTCCGTAATTTTTTTAATGTTTAGGCGTCAGTTTTGAAATTAGACTGAGTAGTTAAGTTTGTTGATATAAAGTTAGTAATTACTTATTTATTAGCAATTACAAGAAATTGTTTTTAATCTCAAACAGTAAGGGGTCTTTCTTATATTACTTTACACCTTTTAATCATACTACATTATCACTTTATAGTTAATGTGAGATCACAAAATCTAAAACTTCTAGGAGGAGAAGGGTGGGAATCTTTGATTTCATAATTTTATACAAACTGTGCAACTCTTCTAACCCTTTCTTTAAAATGGCGCACTCTGATGACATCCCTCCACTTTCACGTGTGACATAATTTCCACTCAGGTTCGATGAGGGCATCAAGTTGGACCGCGAGAGCTGGTTCAGCGTGACCCCGGAGCAGGTGGCCCGACATATAGCTTCCAAGTTTTCTTACGACGTCGTGCTGGATGCCTTTTGCGGTGCTGGTGGCAATACTATACAATTCGCTAACACTTGCAAAAAAGGTATGCTTTAAATAAATAATGTACTATATAATATTTGAATAAACAATGTAAACATTGTATTTGTAGACATCTCTGTTTCTATCAAGCAGTTTGCTTTGTATGGCTGTGATAGTACAGGCATTTTGCAAATAAGATAACTACATACATACATATGTATGTTTCTTATTTATAAAATAACTAGGATAAATAATTAAAATGCTATCCAAGGTCTCTATTCCACGCGGGCACAGCTATTAGTAATATTATAAACGCAAAAGTTTATGAGTATAGATGGATGGATGTTTGTTACTCTTTCACACAAAAACTACGGAACGAATTTTGATGAAACATCATAGTAATATAGGTTATACATTAGAATAACACATAGGCTATAATTTAAAAGGATATTATGTAAATTGGTCGAAATATAATGATAAATTTCAAGTAAGTGACTCAGACGAAGTGTGTATGTTAGCTAGTAACAAATAATTTATACAATGTAATGAAAATCTTGAATAAAATTTTCAGTAATAGCAGTAGACATTGATCCAGCTAAGATTGAAATGGCAAAGCACAACGCGGAAGTGTATGGCGTAGCCGATCGCATAGAGTTTATTGTGGGGGACTTCTTCGAGTTGGCGCCGACATTGCAGGCTGATATGGTGTTCCTCAGCCCGCCCTGGGGAGGACCCACCTATTCCAAAGTAAGTTCTGTATATTTGTTGTTACTAGGAAAATTACAAAAGATCTTTGAACAATTATACAAAAGATTATATATATACCTGTATGTTTGCATGTTTATGTATGCATTCTACCATGTAATGATTTTTCGTTCTTTTATGTATATTAAAAAACAATATTCTGCACTCCTCTATATCTTATTGACGCGAAAGTTTGTGAGTATGGATGGATGTTTGTTACTCTTTCACGCAAAAACCACTGAACGGATTTTGATGAAACTTTACAATACTATAGCTTTGTAGTAACACAGTTTCTACACGTGCCACCATCTACTTCCTAGAATCCTTATCGCACGGCACGTGTAACATTAGAAACGCAGCTGCGCGACCTTCAAGCCGTCGTTACGTGCAGCTGTACTTAAAAGCGACACGTGTAAAATGGTATATAAGGTCCGAATATTTTTACAATAAAACACTCTTTTATTCTATCCGTCGAGTCTATCATTGAAGCTCCTAAATTCTCAACAGTAGGTCATATACCTAACCCTAAAGGAGCGTGTACACACACGATCTTAAATTGGTGACCCCGACTAAAAAAATCAAGATTCAAGACGCCGACCTTCTATTAAAAAAAGAAGAAGAAAGCTTATACTGTATACATCAGAATAGCATATAGACTGTAAATTTCACGTTAGTGAAACCGCGTGCACAGCTGGTACTATAATTTCATATTCCTTCATCCGCGCAATTTTCGTAAAAAGAAGCCAAGTTTTTTTTCACAACGAAGTCAGTTGACACTACATCTGATTATCTGATCTGGGATAACGGTAACGAAGGTACATATATATTATATTATGAATATTCCTTTACAGAGTTCGTCTTACGATTTAGAAACAATGTTAGAGCCTAGACCTGCGTCCGAATTGATGACGGTAGCGCGAAATATATCATCCAATATAGCTTTATATGTGCCAAGAAACACCAAATCTGACCAGGTAAGGAAAGATACTATGTTATTATAATATAGAAGTACAGTGTATTATATATGAAATTTGTTATGAATCGGATGAATTAGAAGTGAATAATGAAGATGTGAGACGAAGAGCCTATTTGTTAATCTATACAAACAAATAAAATAAAGTGTATGTTTGTAAGTCCTGATTAACATCGTTTCGCTGAATCCATATGAAACTTAAATAGAAAAAAAATTACAGTTCTGGCTAATCGCTGAAATGGCTGGATCGATTTTGACGGACATTCACTCGCGGATAGCTAATGCTAAAAGGGGTAACTTAGGCAACTTTTATTTTAGAAAATTTATTTTAATTAAAAAATTATTAAATTCACCACCTCGGGCACAGTGGTGTTGTTCTTGTATATAAGCGACTGAAGGTTACCACTGAGCCGATAGCTTGTTTCCCATTCCAGTTATATGAATAAGATGCTTGGGGTCAAGTCACACTCAGATGATTTTTTTATTTTTCTAGTTACTGACGTTGGCAAAGACAATCGGCGGTTCCTTGGAGCTGGAGCAGAGTTACCTGGACAAAAGATTTGTTGCCATTACAGCATACTTTTATAATTAAAGTAATAATATTATTTCTTAGTTGCCAGTAATTTTAAAGTCACATTGTATTCTCCTGTCTCTGGCATGCCATTATTTAAAAAAATAAGCTTGTGATAAAAAATAATTCACTACTCAATCCAATGCCTAAGTTATATTTGCGGGATATATTGAATTTTAGCTCATTATTGTTAATTTTAAGACTAATACGTAATTTGAAAGGATGCCAATATTTATACATAATCATATTTTGTCATTTAAGGGATTTGTCAATTGAGTAATTAATATTTCTCAAGAATCTATACATGCATTATGCAGTTATTGTTAATCGAGTTTCGTCTCTTTGGAATACTTGATAAATTTATCTCTATACACGTATGTATTGAGTATCATTCCATATTATAGTAGATTTTAACTGCCTTCTTACTTGTTGCTTTTACGCTTAAGCCTATAATTGTATATGTTTAACGTAACCACTATTTTTTCTTGTCAAAGTAGGACGCCTAACTAAATAATAATATATAGGTAATTTTTTTTTTAATATCATATTGTTATGTTCTTGTTTTCTTTTTAACTGCAAGTGGTCCACTCGTGTTGTAGTTTTTTTTTATTTACATAGACAACGACGTATTTTTGGTAAAGCGGAACATTTTGCTTTGTGTGTAGGCAGAACTGATAGCCTGATAAAGTGGCTATTCGTGTCCTAGGCAGAACAGATATGCTTTAAATGGCCACGTTAGGTATGCGCTAAATTAATTTACACCATACTAGGTCAAGCAAATAGGTCGTTAACTGTATTTTGTGATTTTTTTTTACTGTCTGATCTAGGTACAGCAATAAAAATATATTTTAAGAGGAACCGCTCAATACAATTATTTTAAGATACCTTTATCTAGTACTGTATAACTTGATTAGTATTAAAATGAGTATAGTGTTTCTTAATAAAAAACAACAATGTATTTAATTAGCGCTGAATATTTAATCAGTGACTACTAGTTGAGCGGAGCGCGAAACGCAGAGTGATCTTAGAGATCCGATTTGCACTCTTTGTAACGATCCTCCGAAACGGCTTGACCGATCAAGACCAAAATTTCACCGATGCTTTACCACACAAAAAAATTACGCATGGTCAAGGCCGAGGTTTTAAAAATAAACTGCGCTCCCCTCAACATGGTGTGTAAACAACACACCGGTAACAAACCTAGTCATATAGTGTTGCCAAGGGTTTGTTTATGTAACGCAGTTGCATTAAATTCTCATTTGAAACAGATTGAAATTTAAAGTTTTATATTTATGTACGAACTGTTTCACATCAGCGAGTTAAGCTGCTGTAATTGTTAAATGTTTTATACGAAATAACAGAATTGATAATTTTTATATCTTTCAAGTGAGAAACGATTACAACTGGGCCACATTAAATAAGTAAACCTCGGTATTTATCTTAAATAGTGTGATAAAATAAAATTGACTTTAGAAAAATTAAACAATATTGGGCAGTACCCAAATATTTTATATCTCTGCGATGTTGTAAGCCTAAGCTTGATTAGAAAATCAATCTATCTATATCATGATTTATGCCACTGGATTCCACTTTACACGCACAATATTGCATTTGTGATTATTATAATATACGTTAATATATAAATTTTTCAAACTTATCTATGTATGAACCATGAAACTGGTATGAGAGGAAGAATTAAATTTATAATATAACTGTTGACAAGTCCCGGCTTCGCAGATGCGCTACAAATCTTTGAATTTCTCGGCTTGCTCTATACTATAACATGCATGTATTATATATAAACCTTCCTCTTGAATCACTCTATTGCTGACAATTTAATTAAAATTCGTTGCGTAATTTTAAATATATAAGCGGCGGCGGGGACGATTTTGTTTTATATTATGTAAAGATAACTAGTTTGATTGAAGTCAGAAAATCAGTCAATTTAATTTAATGGCTAATTCTGGAGAACTCCAATAATATAAACATTAATTAGTGTAATAGAATTCGGTGTTCCGTTGTTTGTCCGCGATGGACTCCTTAACTACTGAACCGATTGCAAATTTGATTTGCACATTCTGTTTAATTTGATCCAACTTGAAAGATAGAATAGCTTACATCTCAATTTATAGTCGCAATATTATTTTATTCAAGAACCTTAGACACAGCACCGCGTAGCCGGGTCTGGTAGTTGACTATATATTTAAATAACACAGGCAATTCTTGGTCATTTTTGATGATTGAATCTGCATTTCATATGGGTTTTAGAATAAGAAATTTAAATGTAATTATTATGTTAAGTTTATTTAAAAATATTTTATTATTATTTCTTAAGTTTTACCTTCAACTTCCACTAAGTAACTGGTAAATACTAGGATAAAAAATAGCACAAGTTTTTTTTATCTCAAATGTTATAATTTCATAATGATTGATTGAAGTCATTACAGCATAACATTTTCAGTTCTGATTTAGTGAAAATAAGATGTTACTTAAATACTGTATCAGTCATTAAGTGAAATATTCTCACTATTAATCTTATTGATATTTTTAGTATTTTCAATATTTTAAGCTATTTATTATATATATTTAAGTAAATTTTTGGTGGCATCAGGAATATGATGCGAATTATATCGTGTCATATACCTGTGCTATGTATACAATCGTAGGTATATTTTTGTCACTTTTAAGTAAAATGTTACATGGTTTAAATTTTTTAGCTTTTTTTATTTATTAGCTAATAAGTCTAATTTTATTTTATTGGAACAATTTTTATATTTTGAACTCGAATTATTATAGTTACAGGCAAAGAACATACACAGATAAGTTTGTGTATATTATGATTGTATAGTGAAATTGTAGGTCGTATTGTGACTGTATAAATGTTGTGAATTCTGTAAATATCTGTTAATGAAAATATATAAAACTGATAACATTCACACCAGTGTTTACAATTTTACCAATTAAAATTTTTTTTAGATATTTTTAAATTATTTATATACAAATGTATGACCATTGTCACTTAGCTATTTGTTTCAGTTTGATAGGAACCCCATCCTCACTATTGTTTACAAATGACCAGATCCCAAGTACTGAGAGAATTAGATTAAGAGTATTCATATGAATGTAATCAACTTTGATAACTGAGATGCAAAACAAACATGTTCTTGATTCACAAGGTGTAGCAAGTTGCCAATTTGGGAAATTATTGCAAATAATTTCAGGTAATCCTTCCTCTTCTTGATTTGAGATTACAGGACAAAACTGTTGGTGTTTATATATTAGTGGAAACAAATCTGAAGAGAGAAATAAAACAGTGTGGTACAGTAAAATTCTTATACTTAACCTAGATCACATAACTTGTAGAACACAGTTCACCATTACCATAGTACAAATTGTGTGAAGAATGGAAAAAGTCTTACATAATATTTCTTATACTAACTATTAACTACAGATTATTCCTTCATTTCTCCTTCTTCGTCCTCCTCTTCAGCTCCTCGTACATATAGTACATTGTTACATCTGATGAGTACTTCACCCAAATTACCTATAAAACAAATTGAAAATAAAGTTTTAGGTGTTGGATTTTGCACCCAAGGCCATTTCTATTGTTTTACTTCATGGACATCGGTAACTTATTCTATGAAATATTCTGTTTTCTCAACAGGCTATTTATAGCTGAACGCCTGAACAACTAATAGTTCTGGCTCTATAAGTAAGTAGCTTCTAGTATGTAAAAAATTCACACACACTTCCCTCAGTAGTGAGTGTCTTGAAAAATTTCCACACACAGCAAGACCAATATCTGTGGTGTCCTCTCAGGAAATCACCATAATCACATTCTTAATTTTCTAATATAAGATACATATGTACATAATTATACATCTTATATTGACAGTCCCAGTGGTATAGCAAAGCACACCACTTTATTTTTGTTGGGCACAGGTATTCATGTGGCTCTGGGTGTTTTCCATGTTAACTATGGATGTATTTGCTACACAGATTAATAATATTTCTTTAGTACCCATAACACAAGCTCTGCATAGCTTGACACTAGATGGCGGTGTAGGGATTGACAAAGGTTGTTGTTATTATTCTTTAAATATATTATTAATAGTAATCAACTAATAAATTTGGGGTTGTTAACTAACCTGTACAAGATCCATCGACGAGTTCTTCAGTGTTAGCTAGCTGTAGATTCATGTAACCGTCGGCTGATACTAGGAGTCCCTTGTACTCATGTCCCCATTTTAATTTCACGAGCACAGACTTTCCGGTTAAACTATTAAGGAAAGGTTTGGGGTTAATTGGCATAGCCGCCGCCATTTTTGAGCTTTTTCCTAAAATACAATAAATTCAAAGTTATATAAATTAAAATTTGATTGCAATAATTATAATATAATTAAATTGTTATTACGTACTGTTATTTCTAGTTAACTACAATAATTAATTATAAATATTTGCAAAATAGAGGCTTTACCGAAAAGCGGTTAGATTTTTTTTTAATATAGTGCAGATTACAGATTGTCAATTGTCACAGAACACTAATACGGGAACAGATAGATATTGAGCACAGAGTTGTTACAGCAATGAGTAGATCTTTTGATATAAAATTGTATATATTAAAAGTAAATCGTAAAATAATAAATATAACCCTTTTGGATAAAAGGGTTATATTTATTATATGGTATATTTTTATTATGACACAACATAATAAATAAAATCACATACATGTTTTTAATAGTAAAAAATTGGCTTTGTGAGTGGCCGAGAGGATTCATGTAGTCGAAAACATCTAAAAAATATTGGTCTTGGTAAGCCGTCACATTGACAGTAGTTGGATTTCTGGCAAATAAGTAAATCTGTGCTTTTACGACACGTAATAAATTGTTGTAATGAATTAACCGAATTGTTTACTTTATTTTTTCTTTACAAATTTTTACATTTATGAAATTATATTTATTGATTTATAATTGTAATTAATGTCACAAATAATAATAACAATTTAGTCTCGTTTCTGTTTACACAGTATATGTGAAGTTGTTTTATGTAAGAAAAACTGAAAAATGTCTTCAAAGTTTGCAGGTTTTAGTGAAGAAGATTTAGAACGAATTAAGTCCAGTAGTACTGAAACGAACACGGGTAAATAATTACAATTTGTATCAATATTATTTATTTATTTATTTAAAACTTGATTGATTTTGTACAATATTCTATATATATTATATATTTTATCTTCTTTTTATTTCTGAATTTCAGACTGCCTATAGTGATGCTTAGGGCACATTTTACAGTAGACTTTATCATAATTTGTGTTTGAACCTCGTCTCTGCACCCATATATTATTATCTGGTTTATTTTAAATTAGATTTTATTCAGTTCCAAAATAATTAAATAATAACCATTAGTATTGATGTTACAGTTCCCTCATTAAGCGAGACAGCAATTAAAAAAATAGATAGGATTGGAGCAAAATCTAGAAGACCAATAAATCAGTACAAACTACCAATTCTACAGACACAAACTTCTGATGATGCAATTGATAGCATAGTTTTTGAGAAATGTAAACTTAGCTTGAAGAGTCCATCACCTACAGATGATATTAGTTATGAAGATGTGAAACTTAGTGATGATAATGAAATAAATTATAATACTAATGAAATAGTTAGTGCTGCTAATGATACAGAAAATGCTGACATTAATGACAATACTGCTGATAATAATAATGAAGAAGAAGAGGAAAAGGAAACTGCAATAAATATAGAAAATATTGACCATCAGGGAGTACAAGCATTTAGAAAAGAAAGTACAGATTTAGGCCCAGATATAGTTAGAGGTATAGGTGACACAGAAAATGTATTGGCCGCCCATAGAGCAAAGTTGCAGGAGTTGCAACTGAAACAGAAGATAATGGAAGAACAAAATAAGAAGAGAAAAGAAATGTTAGCGAAAGCCCTGGCTGATAGGTGAGATATAACTGTCTAAACTAAATGGAACTTGTACAGTGATATTTGCAATTGTTAGAAATACTTAATATATATTTTAATAGTAGATAATATTCACACAAAAAAAATCAAACCAATTTATATAGTAATATTCATGGATGTAAATTTAATTTAATTTAATATGAATGAAATATAGTCCTTCTAAATTTACAATTATTTTCTAAAAATGTTTGCACACTGTTTCATTTTACAATGTTTCATTAATTGGCTATTACCCTTACCTATGTGAGGGTAATAGCCAATTAAACTATTGTTTTGTTATTAGGAATCAGTACTAATTATTAAAGGTATTTAGTTTGTTGTAGCTTTCATGCCTCAACCATGACATTCATTATACACATAGTTATTTATATTTAGAAAGATATAGATTATTTTTATCTTCATTAAACACCATATCCAATTTATGCAGTCAATGTAACAGTAAGAATAAATACTTCACTAATGTGGAACTGGAAATTATTCTATTTTTCAAACACTGTAGCTAAGTGTTTATAAATTTTCTATAAATCTAAGATACATATCCTGGTTGTTCTTAAGATGTAACTGACGTATTTTTATCTGTCAATTATTATCAATGTTATCAATTGAATGGGATGATATATTGTTATCAGAATTGCTTAAATTTACTAGTACTTTAGTTAATATTGTTTATCCATAAATATCAGTTTTTCATTTAAAGTATGGTTGAGTTTTCTAAGTATAGTAAATTTTTTCATCTTATTACCAAACCAATATGGTATACTTTGAATTTGTAGTGTCGTAGTTAATTATTATTGAATGTTTGTTAGTATATATTTTTTATTTTTGTCATGTTTCAGGACAAAACAAACAGAAGAAGAAGTTGTAAGGTTAGAAAAGATTAAAAAGGAACTACAAATATTGGATGGGCAATTCTCTCAAGATGTCAGTGTGCTAAGGAAAAAAATTGATCAGGCTTGTTTAAGTTATTCAGAAGCAGAGTAAGTTGATAATTCAATTAATATTAAATTTCTATTTATATATAAAATTACTACAGAGTGTACTATGGGACATCATTACCTACATACTCGAAGATATTTTTATAGTATCTGGTTCCAAATTAGAGTAGAGTTATATCCAAATTCAAGCTAGTTCACTATTTTACAACTACTTTAAGTGTGAGAACTAATTTTCGTAAGTGTAATACATACATACATATTCAATGTCATGTATGTGTTTGGGAAATTACATAAATGATTGTGACCTAATATTTTATATAAAATTTTCAGGAAACAGTATTTTAAAATAGAAAAAGAATTCTTGCAAGCAAAAATTAACTTACAAAAGGTAAGAGAGAAAAAGGAACTGCTCACAGAACATTTATGTGCCTTAATTACACACAACGAAACAAGAAAGGCACAGAAACTTGAGACACTGATGCTTGAACTTGCCAGTGATAAAACATCCAACTTGGTTGGCAATAAATCTAATGTTAATAATATTCAGAATAATGCAAATGTTAGAACAAGTGTTTCTGTAGACCCGTGTAGTGATGATGATGAGAAACCAGTAATAATAGACGGTGTTGATCAGAAATCTGGTAAGATAGTTGAATTTATTTGAGCAGGAAAAAAATTAAATATTATTATGCTTTTGAACTGTAATAGAAAGTTATGACAATAATAATTATGAATACTAACTTTTTCTTAAAAGACTGGATTTTAAAAACAGTTTTATTACAAAGTTTATAATTAGACTATTGATGAGAATTTATGCTGTGCCTCATTTTAAAATATTTAGTTATTTAATATACTTATAAAGTATAATAGAAGTAATATTATTAGTTTTTTATTAGGTAAGTATAATAACAATTTTATAACAAAGTTTAATTTTAGACTGTGTCTATTGTGATGAGATTTTATATTGTGCCTTAATTTAATATACTTAGTTATGAAATATACTTATAAAGTATAATTAGTAATTTAACTCATTAATTTTAGAAATTATTAATGTTCTGCAGAATTAGGCCAGTTTGATACCTTTGTAATAGAAATATTTTTATTATATTAGGGTATTGAGTAAAATCATACCGAAACAAATAATAGAATAAAAAACATGACAGTTATTTTTGTATGTTTATAATATCTAGCTTTAATTAAGATAAATATTTATGTTTTAAATTGTACACATTATATAATAGGATATTGGTCTGCTTGTAATGATTGTTATCTATCCACAATAGATATATTTAGTCCAGTCCCTGAGCACAATGCATGCAACAACAACTACATCAAGGTATAAACAATATTATCACTTTAAATATACCATATCCCGTTTTTATATATAATCTGTACAATTGTACACAAATGTAAAATAAGTATGGAACAGTGTTATGTGTTAAATATATCAAAATAAAACAACGAATTAATTTATTTAATAAAACAGTATTTTATTATATATTTTATTGCTTATTTCAAGTAATTTTATTTATTTATCTACACCTAATACTAATATTATATTGTTGATACTCCATTCTAAATAATATGTTGGTGCCTCATTCACACAATATGTATATCTTATACAACATTAAACAACCAATCGTTGACTTTAATTAATTTCTATATAAATACCATAAAGAAACCATAGAAGAGTTAGTGTACATAGTATCTTCCATATACTAACTTTATAATATAAGTGCAGTTAGATATAATATATGGAAATCTCTTTGATTTCGGTATATTATGTCTGCTCTTATTTATATTTGGTAGTCTGTGGTTGTACAAATATTTTATCCGAGTTATAAGGAAGCAATGAAATTTCTTATTTGTGATTGCTTAAGTGTTCTCCAGTGTTTATCAATCAAATCACATAAAGTTTATCGTCGGAACATATTGATTCGATCTGTGCAAGCGATATTTGTACGTCTTCTCTCTCTAAACCTATTATAATAAATTCTCTATACACTAATTGCATTGACAAATTTGAAGTATAGTTTAAATACTCTTTGAATGCTCAGTTGATAAAAGCTGTTTTTACGCGACACGTTCATTTATGTACGGTCAGGAGCGGCATGCGATTTAGCGCGGGAAAGCCTCGTTCTCTTTGTGTTACATTTATATGCACAGGCTTTCCTGGGAGAAAGCCGATTCTGGCGAAAAAGAGCGTTCGTGTAAAGACAGCCATTCGGCATGGTGTGAAGCTACTATGTTCACAAGTAGCATTCACAAATAACGTTTACTCGGCTAGAGATAATATTGTCTGTATAGCGTAGAAAAAATATTCAAAAATGCAATTGAATATATACCTCGCTGTGTTAGACATAAAGTTCAAAAGAAACTAGATTTTGAAATTGTTCAAATCTCAAGTAAATAACGTAAGGCTCCTGCAATACAGTATTTGGTTTGTCGGGTTCAGAAAAAATACAGGAACAGCTTCACAAATATTACGTTAGCATGTGACATGCGTTGTCATTCTAGAGGACTAAGATCGTTGTCCTGTAATTTCACTGCATAATCTGACCCAACAACCTGCCGTCAAGCAGCTTCCTTTGTAAACTTTCGGTTGTTGACATGTGTAAAACCTATTTATAACGGTAGTAACACTTGGAAGACCTAGTAGTCTGTCATTTTTTTACAGGTTGAGGTTTACGGAGGATTTACTTTTATTTTGTATATTATCTGTGGGGACAATACAATGATTAAATATTTATTATATTTAATCTGAAGCAATGTAAAAAAATAAACAAAAAGTATTTATCTGTAGTTCTTACAATATTAACAATTCCGTATATTTTCTAAATTAGAACACTTAATTTCTTGGACTAAGCACTTTTCACAGAGTTTTATGAAAACCTAGTGAGATTGCTTCATTTACTATCATCAAATTACATTATATTTATCTACATCTTAGCCAGACCAACATAGAAGTATAGACAGTCTACAAATTGTAAATAAACATAGTGAGGAGCTTTCTTATGATATGTGCTATAACAATATACAATAAAAATAGGGAATTAAATATCCTGAGGCTTTGATGATCCTGAGGCCTGAAGATGTCCTAATGTGTTTTTTTGTTTTATGTTAATCATTTAATATTCATCTAAACTTTTTGTTGGTCTATCCTTTGTAGAGCTTTTTATAGAAGAATGCTCATCTACATTTGGTAAAGAACATTCTTCTGCCTGTATGCTATCCCCAATCCCAATAAGAGTATCTCTTATCACGATCTTTTAAGATCGATCTAATATTAGCGTTGGCATTTTGCAATTCTTTTCTTTTTTCTTTCTCCATTTTAATAAGTTCCAGACCACGTTTGGCTGCGCAATGATACCGTTGACTAAGGGACGCTTCGGTTCCTTTAATGCGAGGAATATGGCCGGTATATCCTGCGATTGGCGGAAATTCTGGAGATATTGTGTTATCTGTAATTTGAAAAAGAACATTTATAAGTAGTTTAGTAAATGTACATATATAGTTCTATGTTCTTTGCAATGTATATTACAGGAAAAGAGCATGACTATCCACGAGATTTCTTTTCTACATTCTACAGAAATTTCACCGATTTCATAATATAGGTGATATAAATAATCTTAAGAATGAAAGGAATAATGACGGCCTCCAAGTTTTAGCTGTTTACCACACCGCCTTACTACCCCGATGGTCGCGAGTTCGATTCCTCGCATGGTTCAAACATTTGTATTCATGTGTCTGTCTCTGGGTGTTTCCTATATATATTATGTATGTATTTGCAAAAAAATATATTTCAGTATTTATATATATCATTCCTCTAGTACTCATAACACGCTGTGTGAATTGTCTAGGTGCCGAGCTAAGCTGAGCCTCCTAGTTTTCATTGCTGGATATCACGGGGTCGATCGACAGCACTATGCCCCGGTTTCCAACTTCCCAAATATAGAGTAACATATCGCCCTACTGATTTTAGTATGACTTAGGTACACGCGCGCACTTTTTGAACCATTTTGAGATGCTGTCTCTCTCAATACGGGTCGGGCATAGTAGGGTACAGCTCCTTCTATAAGATAATTTCCTGACAGAACGAACTTACCAGACTAACGACTAACAGAGCTAACGCCTCTAGTAATACCATTTATACACGTATTTTATAATTGTTTCTGCTGTCCAGTTCGGCTAGCTACAGTTGAAAAATCTGCAGAAAAATTGGTTCAAACCTTTGTACTTATTAATCTCTCTGAATCTATTAAGGTCACGTCTGATCTCGTCTCTGGAGTGAATGGTTTCCATTTTTGGCGCACTCCTAGATCTGGCGTAGGTTTTATTCAAATCAGTTTTGCGTCTGAGTTCTCTCTGTCTTTCCGTGAAGTCAGCCATGCAGTCGTCGGCCGAACGGCCGTAGGATTTACCATATCTGAAATTATATAAAATTCTTTATACTTATAAAATACTAGATGTTCCCCGCGACGTCTTTTGCCTTTTTGGAGTCAAATATGTGATTTATTATCATGTCAAATTTTTATGATACCCGTTCAGATGTTTTGTCTAGAAAAGATAATAAACAGAGGCAAACATTTTCGAATATACAATTTTATTTCACGCGACTTTAATAATATGCGATACCAGCTTTGAATTAATGTTTTTTTCATACCTAACGTGGTCTATCATCGTGAAATACCTAATTTACTATTATAAATTTCAAAGTGTCATGCCGATAAACCACAGCCAACAAAAAACTGTCTCATATTTTGTCGCCTTCCATATTTTGTTTTATGATAAAATGTAGATAGATATTCTAGTAATAGTCTATCTAAATAACTATCCTTGAGATCTATCTAAATAACTAATCTAAATAAATATACTTGAGTATTTACAAAAAAAAAAAGAGTAGATATTTGTGTGTCCAGAACCTATAACACAAGTTCTGTTAAGCTTGGACTAGTTGGTACTGTGCAAATTGTCCTAGGATTATTATTATTAACATAACTAACCTGAAGTTCATACCGGGTACGTATCCCGTATAGCCGGTCATATACGCCGTCTGCTGGTTGTGCAGTCCGTCGTACACGTCTTCCTGAGGGTTTCGGTGTCGTGGCATATTCTCCAACTCGTAGTTGTCGCGCGGTCGGTATTCTAACGGCTTACTGTAAAAAAAACCCGATGAATATGAAATGGTGCACCTGATTGATATAGATCGGGTTAGCACATTGTGGCGATCGCTTGGAATTAATCACGATGGTTTCCAGGGCGTGGAGGCCAACTTGACACGTTATTATTAATTGAAACGTGGTCATTACTAACAATTCCATTTTCGCCAATATAAAAAAAAATACTGAAGAAACGACCGTGGCAACGGGCACAGCATTTTGGCGTATTTATATTAACTATCTAGACTTAACTGGTTAGTCACCATAGGACAAGTAACGTGACCTCATGATCACCTTATATTCGTCCAATGGTACCTCGCGAACTTATGTCTACCGTTAGCGCAGGCGTGTGTAATATTAAATTATTATCCATAAAAAAACTGAACTGTAAACTTACTTGAATAACCCTTTAGACCGTATTTCCCGTAGAATCTGTCTTGTGTTGTCTCCGTAGCATTTACCGAAACGAAATTTTAACATAGGGCAGTGTCCGGTGTATCTGAAATAAAAAGAAAAATTGCATAACTAAATAGATCACTTACGCTTAATGGAAAGATTGGTAGAGAATATAATAGCATGCTTCTGTTATTTCATAAACATTCATCACATGTCTCCTACATGTTTGACCTCCATCCCGATTTGAGTGTCTTCAGCCAGAGCAAAAATATATCGAACCGTACGTTTTGCTATAAACCAGTAAAATGCCAGTGTAAGTAAAACAAAACAAGAACACAAGAGTGGTGCGCTTGTGGTCAAAAAAGCAAGAAAATGAAAACAGTACGGTAAATCAGAATTAACATTGTTGTTTTCATGTCCTTGTTTTCTTTTACAGTAAGCGTTATATTGTATGTACCTATACACTGTTTAAGTTCAGTTCATATTAGAAAACATTGTCAAAAAGAACTGAACTTAATAATTAGCGCTCGCAGGCTCTGGGGATTTGACGGTTTTCTCCCTCATTAGATGATAAACTGAGCATCTCTACTAAATAGGTAAGCAAACGTGTTATCTAATATTCTGATACGAAGAATACTAACAATATCTCGTGGTATATGTGTTCTTTCGCTGTCGCATTGATACCTGCTTAGTCATTCTTATCTATAAAAGCCTTGCCTGCACACGAGGCATAGGCGATGTAGGATAGGCGCTCCCCTATATACAGCCCTGATAGAGCCGTTTTATTTCAGGCCGTGTGTACATATATACTTTTCTTTGTCATTTTTTACATGTCTGAACCAGAGACTATGTACCTTTTTAATCTTAATAATATTATAAACGTGAAAGTTTGTGAGTATGGATGTTTATTACCCTTTCGCGCAAAAACTACGGAATGGATTTTGATGAAACTTTACAGAGAATAACATATAGGCTATAAAATTCACGCGAGTGAAACCGCGGGTAGGCTAGTACCTATTAAAATAAAATATATATACCTATCTCTGTCCAAGTCATAATACTGTTACTCATACCAACGTCACTGAAATAACTGGTAGGTACCTACCTATTAGAGCAAGAGCCCACGACTGCCAGACATACGTCATTTTAATAAACGTGAAAGTTCTTGTATGTGTGTCCCCAACACAGGTAAGAACGATCCCCAAATATGAAACCTGGATCGTGGTTCCTTTGGCAGGTACCAGGTAACAAAGGTGTAAAAAAAATCATACCAAATTCGTTATTTTAAGAAACTCCATATTTTCATATATTGTTCGTAGCACTATTATAACTTGCGCTGCTCATTGCCAGACACGTAGTGTGGTTCCAACCCCCCGCCGGACCCCCCTAAACTATACTATTTTAGAAATAAACTTACGTCATTTTAATAAAGCTGAAATTTATATATATTATTGAGAGTTCTCTCAAACTGAGTTTCCTAAATTGCCAGACAGTTTTCTTGGTTCCTTATCATACCAGACTCATTGAAACCGTATATTGGGTAACAACGGTGTATACAATTTCATATCAAAATCGTTATTTTAAGATGCTCCATTTTTTCACATATTCCTCGTAACAGTATTATAACTTGCTCTGCTCATTGCCAGACCCTTAGTGTGGTTCCAACCCCCCGCCGGACCCCCCTAAACTATACTATTTTGTAAATAAACTTACGTCATTTTAATAAAGCTGAAATTTATATATATTATTGAGAGTTCTCTCAAACTGAGTTTCCTAAATTGCCAGACAGTTTTCTTGGTTCTTTATTCCACCAGAATCATTGAAACCGTATATTGGATAACAACGGTGTATACAATTTCATGTCAAATTCATTATTTTAAGATGCTCCATTTTTTCACATATTGTTCGTAGCATTATTATAACTTGCGCTGCTCATTGCCAGACACGTAGTGTGGTTCCAACCCCCGCCGGACCCCCCTAAACTATACTATTTTAGAAATAAACTTACGTCATTTTAATAAAGCTGAAATTTATATATATTATTGAGACTTCTCTCAAACTGAGTTTCCTAAATTGCCAGACAGTTTTCTTGGTTCCTTATCATACCAGACTCATTGAAACCGTATATTGGGTAACAACGGTGTATACAATTTCATATCAAATTCGTTATTTTAAGATGCTCCATTTTTTCACATATTGCTCGTAACAGTATTATAACTTGCTCTGCTCATTGCCAGACCCTTAGTGTGGTTCCAACCCCCCGCCGGACCCCCCTAAACTATACTATTTTATAAATAAACTTACGTCATTTTAATAAAGCTGAACTTTATACATATTATTGAGAGAACTATTAAACTGAGTTTCCTAAATTGCCAGACAGTTTTCTTGATTCCTTATCCTACCAAACTCATTGAAACCGTATATTGGGTAACAACGGTGTATACAATTTCATATCAAATTCGTTATTTTAAGATGCTCCATTTTTTCACATATTGCTCGTAACAGTATTATAACTTGCTCTGCTCATTGGCAGACCCATAGTGTGGTTCCAACCCCCCGCCGGACCCCCCTAAACTATATTTTATAAATAAACTTACGTCATTTTAATAAAGCTGAAATTTATATATATTATTGAGAGTTCTCTCAAACTGAGTTTCCTAAATTGCCAGACAGTTTTCTTGGTTTTTTATCCTACCAGACTCATTGAAACCGTATATTGGGTAACAACGGTGTATACAATTTCATATCAAATTCGTTATTTTAAGATGCTCCATTTTTTCACATATTGCTCGTAACAGTATTATAACTTGCTCTGCTCGTTGCCAGACCCTTAGTGTGGTTCCAACCCCCGCCGAACCCCCTAAACTATACTATTTTATAAATAAACTTACGTCATTTTAATAAAGCTGAACCTTATATATATTATTGAGAGAACTATTAAACTGAGTTTCCTAAATTGCCAGACAGTTTTCTTGGTTCCTTATCCTACCAGACTCATTGAAACCGTATATTGGGTAACAACGGTGTATACAATTTCATACCGAATTCGTTATTTTAAGATGCTCCATTTTTTCACATATTGCTCGTAACAGTATTATAACTTGCTCTGATCGTTGTCGAACCAAGAAAACTGTCTGGCAATTTAGGAAACTCAGTTTAATAGTTCTCTCAATAACATATATAAAGTTCAGCTTTATTAAAATAACGTAAATTTATTTATAAAATAGTATAGTTTGGGGGTGTCCGGCGGGGGGTTGGAACCACACTAAGGGTCTGGCAACGAGCAGAGCAAGTTATAATACTGTTACGAGCAATATGTGAAAAAATGGAGCATCTTAAAATAACGAATTTGATATGAAATTGTATACACCGTTGTTACCCAATATACGGTTTCAATGAGTTTGGTAGGATAAGGAACCAAGAAAACTGTCTGGCAATTTAGGAAACTCAGTTTAATAGTTCTCTCAATAATATATATAAGGTTCAGCTTTATTAAAATTACGTAAGTTTATTTATAAAATAGTATAGTTTAGGGGGGTCCGGCGGGGGGTTGGAACCACACTAAGGGTCTGGCAATGAGCAGAGCAAGTTATAATACTGTTACGAGCAATATGTGAAAAAATGGAGCATCTTAAAATAACGAATTTGATATGAAATTGTATACACCGTTGTTACCCAATATACGGTTTCAATGAGTCTGGTATGATAAGGAACCAAGAAAACTGTCTGGCAATTTAGGAAACTCAGTTTGAGAGAACTCTCAATAATATATATAAATTTCAGCTTTATTAAAATGACGTAAGTTTATTTATAAAATAGTATAGTTTGGGGGGGTCCGGCGGGGGGTTGGAACCACACTAAGGGTCTGGCAACGAGCAGAGCAAGTTATAATACTGTTACGAGCAATATGTGAAAAAATGGAGCATCTTCAAATAACGAATTTGATATGAAATTGTATACACCGTTGTTACCCAATATATGGTTTCAATGAGTTTGGTAGGATAAGGAACCAAGAAAACTGTCTGGCAATTTAGGAAACTCAGTTTAATAGTTCTCTCAATAATATATATAAGGTTCAGCTTTATTAAAATTACGTAAGTTTATTTATAAAATAGTATAGTTTAGGGGGGTCCGGCGGGGGGTTGGAACCACACTACGTGTCTGGCAATGAGCAGCGCAAGTTATAATAATGCTACGAACAATATGTGAAAAAATGGAGCATCTTAAAATAATGAATTTGACATGAAATTGTATACACCGTTGTTATCCAATATACGGTTTCAATGATTCTGGTGGAATAAGGAACCAAGAAAACTGTCTGGCAATTTAGGAAACTCAGTTTGAGAGAACTCTCAATAATATATATAAATTTCAGCTTTATTAAAATGACGTAAGTTTATTTACAAAATAGTATAGTTTAGGGGGTCCGGCGGGGGTTGGAACCACACTAAGGGTCTGGCAATGAGCAGGGCAAGTTATAATACTGTTACGAGCAATATGTGAAAAAATGGAGCATCTTAAAATAACGAATTTGATATGAAATTGTATACACCGTTGTTACCCAATATACGGTTTCAATGAGTCTGGTATTATAAGGAACCAAGAAAACTGTCTGGCAATTTAGGAAACTCAGTTTGAGAGAACTCTCAATAATATATATAAATTTCAGCTTTATTAAAATGACGTAAGTTTATTTACAAAATAGTATAGTTTAGGGGGGTCCGGCGGGGGGATGGAACCACACTAAGGGTCTGGCAATGAGCAGAGCAAGTTATAATACTGTTACGAGGAATATGTGAAAAAATGGAGCATCTTAAAATAACGATTTTGATATGAAATTGTATACACCGTTGTTACCCAATATACGGTTTCAATGAGTCTGGTATGATAAGGAACCAAGAAAACTGTCTGGCAATTTAGGAAACTCAGTTTGAGAGAACTCTCAATAATATATATAAATTTCAGCTTTATTAAAATGACGTAAGTTTATTTCTAAAATAGTATAGTTTAGGGGGGTCCGGCGGGGGGTTGGAACCACACTACGTGTCTGGCAATGAGCAGCGCAAGTTATAATAGTGCTACGAACAATATATGAAAATATGGAGTTTCTTAAAATAACGAATTTGGTATGATTTTTTTTACACCTTTGTTACCTGGTACCTGCCAAAGGAACCACGATCCAGGTTTCATATTTGGGGATCGTTCTTACCTGTGTTGGGGACACACATACAAGAACTTTCACGTTTATTAAAATGACGTATGTCTGGCAGTCGTGGGCTCTTGGGCTATATGTTTGTCTACCTAACAAAATTTATCTTTATTTACTTAATAAATGCGAATAATCTTGGTATTCATTATCTTGAAACGTGTATACTTATACAATGAAAACAAGATAACTATTTTTAATTAAAAAATATAGTTAATATGGATTATTATCCTATCTATATTTAATAACCAGGCTATAGGATACACAGCCTGGTTCTAGGATGTAGAATAAGAGCCTACAAGACCTGTAGATTATGGCCCCAACTTAGAAGAAAACTAATGCATGTTTTTTTTTAAACAAATCTGGTTTGTTTACAAATTTTTTGTATTAATTTAATGTTCTGACTACTTTTGTCATGATGATAAATAAGTGAACCCAGCAATACCTATTAGTCTCGTATCAATTGGTAAGTACTTGATTTATTGTAGATCGAAATAATAGACACACCTCTACTTTCTATTAAATAGTAAGGTAAAAGAAATTATTATATCAATAATTAAAATATGGTTTTGTTATCTAACGGTAATGATAAAACTGAATCATATTGCAATCATATTTATTTCACATTTATGTAATAAATTCATCCATACTCTAATATTTTCCCGATAACCAGAAAATTCAATCAGAAAACGTATCAGGGACAATCTTCGTAAGCGAAGCAATAACCCGACGGAGGGTGTAGCACGAAGGGGAAATCGCAATCGCATCGCGACCAATCGCAAATAGTGCCCATTGATATTGCGACAGGCTCGTCGCAAGTCCGCTGCGACGGTGTCGGACGACATTCGCTGTTCAAACGATGCATGTTTTCTGGGCATTCCTCTACGCCTGTAAATTGATTTATTAGGTCATTTGGCAATGCGCCAGTTAATAAAACCAATTGCTTGTTCCTCAAATTAGGATGCCTAAGAAAAAACTAAGAGGTCATGTTTCTTCTGAATAGATCGTCACTTTCCAAAATATATTGTTTAGTATTGGATAGCTAATAAAAATATTGGACTGTGATTAATATGTATAATATGAAAACTGTTATGAAAGATAGACCGTTGTACATTAAATTAGTTGAGTGAGATTATTAATTAAGCCGGTAAGTATCGATGCCGGCCGGACAAGAAGTGGCCGCCGCTGGCCGCGGTCGCCGATTGGGTGCATAGATAATATATTTTCCGATTTAATCTATTTGTTGTTAACAGACTGCATTTTTCAGTAAATACTTTGACAGATAAAATATTTTAAATTAATAGGTAACAGATCCGGTGATTGTTGGTTTTAAATAGTTTGATAAGTACTTACAACTTCCATTGAACAACAAGCAGCCGGGTTGCCCTATTTTTGCATAATACATAGATTCAATAACTTTCACAAAACATAGGAAAAACACCACATGTTGCATTGTCTAATCTGCGGGCGCCTTTTTAGTGTAATGATTGCACTTGTTTACTGAGTCCAACTGTGTTGTGTTATGGTTGTTACTATGTCGGTAACAATATGGTTTATTTCCTGTTTTATTTTTTTGTATACACAAATGCGTATACTATATTTCTTCGACATCTTGGTAGGTAAAGAAAATTAATTTAACTTGGAAAAAAATTCGCTCCGAAACATTCTCACAATAAAGATACTAATCCTCTTTAATTGCTTAGATAAATGGGGCCTTAGAAAGAAGTACGAGTATGTGTCTTGGTAATTAAACTACCTTATGAACTCTCCCGAGACGTTATCCATCTGTGATCAATTTGGTAGTTGTAAATACAATACAATATACAATTCTACTTCACAACTGTTATTGGAATAGGTCATAGATAATATAATTTCATTTTAAATTTCTTTCTAATTAGAAACTACATATATAAGTTCTTGAGCCCTTATTGACTTGCTGCAATATGTTCTTCCCTACCACTATTAACTGTACCTAATACCCAATGTGGCAGTAAGTTGTAAAAAAATACCAAGACATTTAAATTTCCTACTTTATTAATGGACCTAGTAATATATTGGCTTCTAAAAATATTACGTAATTGAAATACCTTTATTTATTTAAGCTTGTTACTCACCACAATTGTGGTGAGTAACTAAGCTTAAATAAATACGGTAAGTACCGTAGAGTTAAAGTAACATAAGTTGTATGTGAGAACTGCACTAAATATTCAAAGAAAATGGCTGCTTTGCAGGCAAAACATACCACAATGAAATAGAAAACAATGATTTTTGAAATTTTTCTCGATTTGTGTGTTAAACAGTCTTGGAGTTTAATGTTAAATTTTTGACTCATAATTTACAGTTATGAGTCAAAATCTGGGATGTAATATTACAATGTTTACTGTGGCAATAGTAAGTATGAAAATATTCCCAAAGGGATTAAATGTATTACTTAAGGGATTAAATTTGTTCTTCTAACAATAACAATTATTTTCATTGCTTTACGTTAGTCTTTTTACTGCGTGTCTGTACAAGTTCGGGGCAGAGTTAATTCTTGCATTAAAGCAAATAAAACGGCAGATAAATATAATTATTTCCTTATATATTATTATAAGAATGTATCTATAAAACTAAATCGATTGTTCAAACTTGTTCAAAAAATTCTTTATTCTCCGTGAGTTTTAATTTCTTCGATTTTCTGTACGCCTTAATTCGAGTCTTGCCTCGGAGTTTGCGTTTGTAGGATTGTTGACACATCTTGTAGTCGACACATGCAGACGTCATCTCGTCCAACAGTAAGTCGCCGTTGCAGTCACAACGTGACCAGCCGCATGTATAACCTGTAATTTATAAAAATGGACTGAAAATCATCTATACAAATAAATAAAATAGAAGTGTCTGCTTGTAATTTCTAAATAACAGATTTTCACTAATGCACACGACGTATATATATGGTATTAACATAAAAAAAGAATTGATTGTCTGTCTGTTTGTTTGATAGTTCATGCTAATCTCAGAAACGGGTGCGACGATTTTGACGGGACTTTCACTTTACTTAATTTTAGAAATTTTATACCACGTGGACGTGGACGTAGCAGGTAATAGCTAGTTTAATAATCAAATTTTAGTACCCACCAAGACTATAAATCTCAGGTTGATCACACGTGCGCTGAGATAATGTATCTTTGTCGCATCGTGTATGATACGGATGCATGTTACGAGGACAGTGGGAAATGCCTGGAAAAAATATAGGAACATTGAACAACAGAATGAATATGTGTGTGTACGTGGTATGAAAAATGTGACAACTATGTTATTTGTTTTGAGAAGGGCTAATATAATAACAGGCTACTAGAAAGCAGGATTTTTAAAAAATCTGCTACGTTTAACTTTTACAGTGAAAATGAAATTTAAAACTACAGACTATTTTTTAATTACACAATATCAATTTGTAAAAATCCAAGATAATTACATAAAAAGTATTATAACAATTAATTGCATAAATAATAGAATTAAAAAGAGGTCACAAAACTTTGTATGTATGCCAATTTGTTTTAATATTACGAGGTTTTATTCATTAGTTTTTTCTGAAATTTATTTGAGACTGTTACATTTATTCCGTGCCTGATAGATGTACCTACTCTTTCCAATAAATTATGAGTGTACTTAGGCTACTTTGTATCTTGGGAAATCTACTTTAAGTGACCGAGGGAACATATTAGGGGTAGAGGACTATAAGGGATTTGAGTTATAATAGCTATATTTTTACTGTAGACAAAACAAAAATACCTTTTTCTGAGGAACCATTAAAGTAAGTAATTAGATAAGATTGGTATCTTTATAGTGAGAATATTTTCGGGCTAATTATATTCAATTTTGTGGTTTAATTACTCCAAACTTAACTGCGGATACTGATGCGCAGATAAAGAGAGCTTATTAGTTTGTTTTTTATTTATGGTACACTATTTCAGTACGATTAATTTTCCTATGGTTAATATTTCATTGTACTGCTTTTCATTTTCATTTTATTTTTTTATACTTCTGTATTATTATTACTAAAGAATTTTACTTCAGCAAAAAAAAATATATATTATAAATATACTCAAATTGCGAAACAATTCGTATCTTGAAATATCAGATTAAATATGTATGTATTTGACGTATTGTATACTTTTCGCTCTCAGTGGTCAAGCTGTTTAGCACATCATAGTTCAGAACGTCGCAGGTTCAATTCTTCGCACGGTGCAAACATTTATAGTTATGAGTATGAATGCTCGTATGGGTCTGGATATTTTTTATATAAAAATCTATTTAAGTAATTATATCAGTTGTTTAGTACTCATAACACAAGCTCTGCTTAGAACTAGATAACCTCATGTGTAATGTTCCATGTTAAAATATATTAATATATGTATACTGTATTGCTGATAATGGAACATATATATGTGTAATATAAATACTAGGATCATATAAATAGGATTATAGAACATGTATACTTACATTTCTGTGCAAAATACAAACATGGTGTCCCATAATATTGTCCATTTACGAGTAAAATTGAGAACAGAGTTACACAAACTCTACAATCCATTGTATGGCGCTACAAACGGCACAATGACATATGGAAATAAAACCAAACGTTCCCACGGCTGATGGACATACTTATTGATAGTTATGATTTTTCAGTTTACTGCAATGTTTTCAAAATACATGGCGATGTAATCAATAATTTTGATTTAGTAGCAAGAAATATTAAATCAGGCTGGAGGTACGTTACGTCGTACAAAATATATTTGGAAAATAAAACCTACCAACTTACATCGTGAGAAATTACTTTTTTTTTAAATACGATAATAAGACCTATGTAAAAATATGAATTAAAATTTACAGATTTGTAATTATGCGACTGTGTTGAGTATCAATACATAGGTATATATAGTTACTTTAAATAAAAATACAGGCAAATTGAAAATCACCTATTTTACCCCCGTTGCAGCGTTATACGTTTGACGTGTTTGTCTGTGTCCTCGTAGCTCTATAACGAATGTACCGATTATGATACGGTTTTTTTTTGTTTGAAACTTAACTCCAATTTATGATTTATCTGTTCAGGTGTTTCATAGTCATCAACTTTTAGTATATTTACTACACGGTTGTTTTTGGATTTTATATATTGAAGTATATGAACGTGTAATGATAAATGGTGTCAATGTGTCACGTGCCCGTAAAAGAGCCCTACTTATCACACCATTACTGATACAGGTTGACTGTACAAAAAGCTCAAGCTCTAATATCAAGAAGCATATTGATATAAATTTCAAATTGAAAATAATTTTGTTCCTTATTTATATATATATATATATATATATAATGAATATATTCAATCACTACCTATACATATATATTTGAAAGGTTTAAAAATAAAATTTAATTTACTACTTTGATACTACACTTTCACTAATGTCATAAATGGCTTGGTACCTTCATGTATCCTTTACGATTAACTCTGTATTGATCAGAACTTAGCCTTACCTTAGAATCTGTGAAAAGTGCCAGGTACAATCAGACTCGTATATCTGCACACCTACGCTACGTTTAGTTATAAATAAACTTTGACAGCCACAAACAGAGTTTCTTAATAAAACGACAGACAATTTGCAAGTTTGCAAGTATCACCCTGTATCACCGAAGCGACAATAGTTAACAGAAGCAAATGAGGTCGGAACACGAAATGCATGGCCTATTTAGCGCGTAAAATACGGGTAAGTGTATGGCATATCTAATTGTTCATCGTAGATTCTGTACATATCTAGATGTCACAGTTTACAATGTCAGTACTATTTCTTTACACGAACTAGTATTATATATATATATATATATTATAACACAGGGGACAAACGAGCATGCGGCTCACCTGATGGTAAGTGATTACCGCCGCTCATGAGCACCCGCAAAACCAGGGGAACTACAAGTACGTTGTCGACCTTAAGAAATAAGGTAAAAATTTAATACAAAAAAAATTACGTTCATAAGCGGCTAAAATGTCTTACATAAATAATGTTTTAATTGGAATTGGATGTCTGCCTTATATGTTCCTATTGAATTTAAATTTGATGTATGGCTTCCAAGCTCCTATAACATTTTGTTTTCAAATTTAACTCAATACCAATTTAAGTTCATTGTGACGAATACTCAACAGCTATTGCTAGTTAAGTAAATACGTAAATACACACCAGTATACATCTAATCAACAGTACATGAATGCTGTCTGAAAAAAGGTCGACGTCAACATGCAACTTTGAACCTTATACGCGATTATATTACAGTATAGATATATTTATACTTCAGAGTACATATAATGAAGTCCTACTGTTGTGCTGCTTCGTGAGCTGTTTCAAAATCGAAGTTAAAATATATGAATATTTAGGTTTATTTGTCAGTTATATTCGACGAATGCGGACGACCCACTAACCATCACGAT